AATGCTAACCCCTAACCCCAAACCCTAACCCTCAACACTAAACTGAACCCAAACAAGAACCCGAACCCTAACCCCTATCCTAACTGAACTGAACCCTAACTCTAACCCCTACCCCAACCCCAAACCCCTAACTCTAACCCTAAACCTAACCCCTAGCCCTAACCATAACCCTAAACCCTAACCCTAACCCTAACCCCTAACCTCTGGCCCTGGCCCTGGCTGTGACCCTGACCCGTGACTCTAAACCCTAACCCTAATTCCTAACCCCTAGCCTTAGCCCTTATCCCTAGCCCTAACCCCAACCCCATCCCCAAATCCAACCCTAACCCTAAACCGTGACCCTGACCCCTGACCCCAATCCTAAACCTAAACTCCAAACCCTAAACTCTCACTCACCCTCACCCTGACCCAGACTCTGACCCCTACCCAGACCCATACCCCAACCCCTGACCCTGACTCTAACCTAACCCTCACCCTCACCGTCACCCTAACCGTGACCCCAACCTTGATGCTACCCTAACCCTAACCACTAACCTGTAACTCTTAACCCTAACCCCTAACCCTAACCCTAAACTCTAACCGTAACTCCGACCCCTAACCCTAACGCCTCACTCTCACCCTCACCCTCTAACCCTAACCCCAACCCCTAACCCCTAACCCTAGCCCCTAGCCCTAACCCTATCCCTAACCCCAACCCCAACCTAACCCTAACCCTTAACCCTAACCGAACCCGAACCCCAAAGCCAAAGCTGAACCCTAAATCCTAAACCCGAACACTCTAACCCTAACCCTAAACCCTAAACCTTAACCCCTAACCCTAACCCTAACAACCCTGATCCTAAACTTAAACCCTAACCCTAACCCCACCCCCAGCCCTAGCCCTACCCTAACCCTAACCCTAGCCCTAGCCCTGACTCTTACCCTGACCCTGACCCTGACCCTGACCCTAACCCTACAGAGTAATATATTAACCTATATTCTTTATCTTCCTCTCTTGCTCTTGAGCACTTTAAATATGACTACTGTAACTGATAAACTGTGTTTTTATTTTGTTAAAGTAATTTAAAGAGCCACATGTCAGTAGCAGCTTCCACATTTGGACAAAGCACCATACAGTCCCTGTGATTAGCCTAGGAAATAATCCCCACACGGGCGGATGGTCTGGTCCCTAACGCTCTTCGCTCCGTGCAGGTGGATATTCTGAAACTACAGGCGTGTTCTGGCCTCCGGGTCTCCCGCTGAGATCAACAGGAACGGCCATCTCCTGCCCAGCGCAGGGCATCACGTCCACCTTGGCCCTGACGGCGATCGAGGGACCTTGGAGAGCTCCCTGGGGGGCTGCAGAACCGTTGAGGCCCGACCGTCCAATTTCCACTGTGGTACAAGGCCACAGCGGCCACCGCAGAAACCACGTCAGGTTTTTCTGTCTGCACGGGGACACTGCTGAGACTCCACACACTCCCACAGGTGGAGGTGAGGGTCAGGTGGGGCCAAGCTGAAACCTCTCTTCTCCAGAGGCATAATAGGGCAGCAAAATAAACGAGGAGAGGATATCCTCACGCACGTGTCCAAGTGGAAGCCAGAACGCATGGAAGTGGCCTGGCCGTGACGACCAAGAGAAGGAAGCCTCGACAGGTCAGCCTCGGTTGTCCCAGAAATCGCTTCTGAGCCCTTTTTCCGGGTGGTTCTTGCAGTGATGTTGAAAACAGAACATGGTATGAAAAAAACCTTGCAGCCTCACTTCTTACTGAAAATAAAGTGTTTACTATCCAGAGCAGTGATGACAGCAGGTCACAAGAAGGTGTCCTGTTCAAGTGTCACAGAAATATTCTCGTTTCCTCCGAAAGGAAAATGGACCGTGTTCTTCTCGTTCCCATCGGGGCCCCTAAGGTCCCTGCGATCTGCTGAGTGCTGAGGGGCGGTTTCCACGTCCGCATCGGGTGGGGCCCTCTCTGGCCACGGCTGGTGGCGTCCCTGCTGCATCTCCGGCCGGGGCTGTTTGTCTCTGACGCCGTGAGGGGGGAGCAGAGAGCAGACGTGGACGGGAGATCTGAGCCCCTTTAGAGAGCGCGTGCCTGTGGTCAGGCGATTCCAGCCTTTTTCCAAGTGGAAATTCTTACCCAGTGTCCTAGATTCGCCCCAAAGTGTGCCTATTATATGTACAAACCGGGCTGCTTGGATTCCACAAACCACAACTGTTAAAAGTGAGGCTGACAGGGAAATCTGGGAGCACGTCTGTCTCAGACATGAGAAGAGCCAACAGGCCTGTGGAGGAGACTCAGAAGCTGTCTTGCTGCTGAAAACATCCTCGAGGCTTAAAAACCACCACAGGGTTTTTAAGTTGCAGCTCAAGGTCTCTCTCTCCCTCGGTCTCCTTTTAGAAGAGGTGCTGGCAGCTGAGAGCGTTGTGGGGAGGGCCGCACACACAGGCTCGAGGCCTCAGGAAGAACCCAGACCTCACGGCCCCCGGGGGCAGATGCCCCAGGCCCCTCCCCATGGTCTGTTCCTGCTCAGACACGGCCACCCCACCGCGCCTGCTGGAAATCAATGAGGTTTAGCAACTAACATTAAAAAAAAATCAATCTCGTTTTCCAATTTTATGTTTTACAACTTGAATAGGGATTCCTTTGGGGAATAAGAAATGAATAAATATCGTTCAACTTAGGATAGTTTACTGAGGCAGAGTTTTCCTTCTTTGAATTAACAAAATTCTTCAAACTATAGAGAAGAGAGTGAGCTAACGAATACCCACACACAGCACGTAGACATAACTACTACTAGACATACTACAATTTTGCCATATTGGCTTCACACGTTTGTGTTGTGAAGTATCATCGGTTACAGATAGAAAACTTCACTCCTAAACACATCGGCACGCACCCTCAGAAAGTAGGCGATTCCTACAAAAGCCCAGGGCCACGTCCCACCTACAATATCGTTCAGGAGGGGCTTTTCAAAGACCAGTCAATGTCAGAAGGTGGGGGAATGTTGGGCATCGAGAACACGCCACGGGAAATGATACTGACGTGACTAAACATCTAGGAGTTTCCCGTGAGAATCGACAAAAGAAAAAGAGAAAATACGAGTTTTTATACCTTAGGAGCGTGACACGGTGAGGAGTGAGAACTGAGACGTCGCAGCTCTGCCTGGTCGCTGAGTGGCCGACACAGACACGCTCCGAGTCTGGATGAGTGCTCCTCACGTGCAGGGGGCCCGTCACTGCCCTCTGCTGGGTCCTGGGACACCCGGGCTCCTCGCCCGGGGCGGCCGCACCGTGGATTTCCCGACCAGGAACCCACCCCACACCTTCAAGGAAGCCGGGCCTGCGGACGCTATGCAGTGTCTGGGTCACGTTCCTCCCATCTACACGGCACCAGGGCAAGGTCATGGCGGCCGTGGAGACCTTCTCCATCTCGGCCCCCGGGAGCTACACTATCCTGCCGAGGCCTGAGAGGAGCACCCAGCAAGGGACACAGAAGAGGACAGGTTCTGGGTGCAAATAAACATTAACAAAGTAAATCACCCGTTTTGCACAGACATTTGGTAAAACATTAAACTGACCACTTACGCTCTCCTTGAGAAGGTGAGCTCTGTAGGTCCTGCCAGTTTCAGGGACACCAGCCCCTCGCCTGTCAGTGTCAGGGGCTCCCACATCCCCAGAGGCACCTTCTCCAGGTCGTGGAGTCGCTCACTCAGCGAGGTCCCGTTTCCCGAACCACAGCTCCGGCCTGGCCCAGGGTTTCTTCTCTTGCACTTTCTCTGTTTTCCCCACTACAGAAGTCTTCCCACACTGAGGTTTTGAACAGACTTTCTTTCTTCTTTTCAATATGTCTAGAGGTTTGTTTCTAGCCTTATGTATTTCAATTCCCCAACATCACTTCTGCGAATGGCGAGGGAGGAGCCACGGGTCCAGGGCAGAGACGAGAGGACGTGTCTGCGGTCCCACGGGCACGGGGTCCATGCGGCCGGAGGGGAGTCGGCAGGACTGGACACAGGAGCGTCGGTGCGGCTGAGTCCTCCAGGGCCACAGGGAGGGGACAGCCAGAGCCCCAGGAACCACAGGTACGTGCAGCTGGGGGTGGGCACATCCCCAAGCAGAAAGGGGACAGGGAGGCCGGCTCCAGGCCAGACCCCGCGAGCGACCTTGCAGACCCAGACACCGCGATCCTGGAGGCTCCACCTGCGGAGCTCACGGGAGCTGCCCTCCCCACCCCGGACTCAGGGCGCAGCCTGCACGCAATCTCAGGGGGGTGCAGACGAGGACGCAGGTCAGACTGGCCACGCTCTCACCCACACGTGAATTTCCACCCAAGCGCGTCCATGGGGGGGCCTGTATCAGAGGGGCCTTCGGCAGAGGCCTATTCACGCTGGGGAGGGGAGAACCATGGAATCAGGACCCCCCACTCCCAGTGCCACCAGCCTGGGGTCCAGATGCCTGCAGGGGCCTCCTGCTCGGGGCCCTCCACAGCAGGGGACCCCTCCTGACCCTCGACCTTGGTGCTGGGCCCTGGGAAGGTGGGGGGAACCTGTGGTCTCTCCTTTGCCCTCTGCCTGACCCGGCAGAGCGGGCGACTGAAGGGTGGGCTTGTAGACTTAACCTGACTCAGCTGAGCCGACGAGGCAGGGGCCCCTCTGCTGGTGGGAGACGGTCCTCAGAGACCCTGACACCAGTCAAGCAAACTCTCTATTTTACTAAAAACCCACATATACATCAATTTTACAAAAACAGCTTCCACCTGGACCTCTCGGTCCCTCCCCACCTCAACGAAAGAAGGGGCACCGAGGGGGCTGGGGCACAGGGTCCCCTCCGTGGCCAGGCTGCCCCGGCACCCCGACCCCAGTCCAGTGCACAGGAGGGGAGGTGGGTGGAACCCGCTTGGCTGCAGCCGGGGCAACTGGAGCCCGTCCAGAGCCCTCATCGCCATCCCAGGTGAGGGCCCCGCCAGGACCACGCACACGCTGACCGCAGCCTGAGCCCGGCGGGACGCACGGATGGGCCCCGCCCGGCAGCTCCGGCCTCAGGAGGAGGAGACGGGGAAGCCGTAGTGGTTGTGCTCGGCCTCGCCCAGGGTCAGCGTCAGCGACAGGCTGGCTTTCCGCTCCAGCCCCTCCTCCTCCGGGCAGCGCTGCGGGGGCCGGATCTTGAAGAAGTCGGAGACGTAGCGAACCTGGGAGAGGAGAGGAGGGCAGGGCTGGCTGGACAGGGCGGGGGGAGGACGGGGCCCCTGTGGGAGGGGAGACAACTCACAGTGAGGCCAGCCACCAGCGCCCCCTGCAGGAGTCCAACGAGGACGTCGCTCCAGTGGTGTTTGTGGTCAGACACGCGGGTGTAGCCCACGTAGAGGGCGAAGGCCACCAGGAAGAACTGCACGGTGGGCCGCAGCAGCCGCGCCCACTTCCAGCAGAGCCGCGCCTGCACGTAGAGCTGGGGGACGCAGGGCGGCCATCAGCCAGGAGCCCGCCCCACGCCCAGCACACAGGTGGGAGCGAGAAGCCCCCAGCTGCTGTGAACAGACCGGCGAGCCCCCCATCACCACCTCCACCCACTTGACAGACGGAGAAACTGAGGCCCAGGGAAGGGGAGTGACGTGCCCACGGTTCCCCAACAAGCAAGTCACGGAGACAGACTCACCGCCAGGAACATCATGCAGTACATCCCAAACGAGGAGTGTCCGGAGTAGAAAGACAACCTGGGGAGGGGAGGGCGCAGGGGTCAGGGGGCCATGCAGCGGACACAGCCCGAGGGCCACACGCGAGCAGGCCGCTGCCCCGGCCTCTGCTCTCACACCTCTGTCCCCTGTCCCCTCCCACCGTGTCCACCGTCTGGGACCCAGCACCGGGAGGATGGTACGTGGACACGGGGCCGGTGTCAGGCCCATCAGTCACTCCCTTTTTGTCTCTCCGACAACGCAATAGAAAGTCTCGGGCGGGGCTCACGGGCTTTCACGCCTACAAGACGCTATGGAGCCTGGACGGACACTCGGCCAGCGGGCAGCTAACACCAGTTCTGTTCTCACTGCTTCTCTTCAGGATTATTTTCCATCTGTGGTTAACTGATGAAAGTTTCACATTTTCTTGTGTGTGTGTGTGTGTGTGTGTGTGTGAGGAAGATCGGTTCTGAGCTAACATCTGTTGCCAGTCCTCCTCTTTTTGCTGAGGAAGACTGGCCCTGGGCTAACATCTGTGCCCACCTTCCCCTACTTTATATAGGAGGCCGCCACAGCGTGGCTTGATGAGCGGTACATGGGTCCACGCCTAGGATCCAAACCTGCGAACCCCGGGCCACCGAAGCAGAGCGTGCAAACTCAACCACTGCGCCACTGGGCTGGCCCCCACGTTTTCTTTTTATGTAAATTCGAGTTTTTGCAAAGGACATCCGTGGATGAGAGAGAAAACAGCAGAGCAGGGAACCCCAAAGGGGCACCTTCCATAAAAGCAATGAAAAAAACGGCAAAAACAGTCCAAATCAGACTGGCAGTGGCGACGGGGACCAGAGGGAGAACAGACCTCACTTTCAAAGAAGCGTGACTGTTGGCTGGGACCCAGTGGTGGCTCCCGGAGCACTCGCTGCTCTCTAGCTCGTTCTCCCAGGGCCGAGGGGGCGCCCCAGGGGCTTTGGTCTGAAACATCACAGCAAACGCATTCGTCACTGCCGCTGGGGAGGCAGACTCTCTGAGAAGCTTGGGAGGAAAGGCTGGGAATGGATGCTCTGGAGGACGAGGGCTTGGAATCCAGAGGCCAGGGCGGCGCCCACTCACGAAAGGTAGGGGAGCCCTGAGCGCTGCCCTCTGGCCGACCTTCGCGGGCTGCAGACAGGACGCGAAGGTGAAGGCCGAGGGGAAGGCAGGCCCGGCACGGCTCCCAGAGCCCAGCCACAAACGCTGGCCGTTCTTCCCCAGGTTTTGAAGGAAATCTCTCCAGTCACTAGCTGGTGTCTCCGCGAACAGACCAGAACCTCACGGCCACACACGACGACGAACACAGACGTCACAACATCAGTTCAGGAAAGTCACTGAACCAGCAGCACCAGCGGTCCCCGGGGAGGGGAGCCCGAGTCCCAGAGGGGCCCCATTACCATACTCAAAAGGCCCGGTTTTCAACAAAAAATGACCAGGCACGCACTCTGGAGGGAGAAACACGGCTTGGCCATCGGGATGAAGCTCACCGATGAAAAGGGGATTCCAGGAGCATTATCGACAAGAAGCAAGACCTTGAAAGTGATGTTCTTCTCTAAGCTGCATTCTGCTGGCGCAGCAGATCAGGAGGGCGTCCTGGAAGAGGAGCTGGGTCACCAGGACTTAGAGACACTGGCAGTGTGTGCTTGTGATATGCATGAAGGCCCTGGGGTCTCACTGAGCCAGACCACAGAGGGCTTCGACGTGGCGTCGAAGCAGGAGTGTCATCCCGTCCTTAAAAGCCTTGAAACCTGGCACCGACTTGGCCTCCCCATGGAGGAAGGTCCCTTCAGGCATCCGTTTCCAGATCCGGGAGGTTTCATGCACATTGAACATTTGCTCTGGCAAGTAATTTTCCTCCACAACCAGCTTATGTAGCGTTTCCAGAAACTCCTCAGCTGCCTTCCCATCGCCGCTCACTTTCACGTTACGCAACGAGGATTGTCGAATCGTTTTAAACCACCCGGAGCCGGCAGCAAACTCAAGCTTGTGGTCGGGTCCAGCCTTTTCTTTCAATGCTGGAAACAACGTTTTTGCTCTGGCCGTGATCGTCACAGCGCTGGGAGGGATACGCTTCCGTGTCTCGTCTTCAATCCAGGTCACAGAAGTGTCTCCACGTCTGACAGAGGCCCCTCTCGCACTTTCGTTAGTCTCGTTGCCTTCGACGAAGCAGACCCTGTGACAGCTTCCGTCACTTGATTCCTCTTCCTCAAGCTGTGGTGGACGGGGCACGCCTGACTGGCGAGCAATAACTGTCACTGATTTGTCACCTTCGTGGTCCTTAATCACTTTTCATTTCTTCTCCAGGCCAAGCACTGGACGTGGCCTCTTACCAGCAACACTCACAGCGGATTTTGCGCACTTAGGGGCCGCGATGAACAAAACAGCACGAGATTAAATCAGGCACACGAGAAAGCAATCGATCAGAGACGCAGTAAACACGAGGCGTGCGAGGCTGCTGCCGGCAGAACACGGACACCGGTTTACAGTGAACTTTTCTTTATAAGCAGAAAGAGTACGCGCTACAGTAACAACGAAAAGTACAGGACAGCAAGCACATGAAGCAGTGACGTTGTCGCTTATCGTTCTCACGGGTTGTGTCCCGTACCTAAGTGTCCGTGCTGCACCCCCGCACGACTGGTGCAGTAGGGCTGTTCACGCCAGCATCACCACACGCATGAGTGATGCATCGTGCTACGAGGCCACAACGCCATGATGGCCACAACGGCCATGACGCCATGACGCCACAGCGGCCACGACAGCTATGACATCACGACGCCATGACAGCTATGATGTCACAATGGCCACGATGCCACAGCAGCTATGACATCACGACGCCATGACAGCTATGATGTCACGATGGCCACGATGCCACAGCAGCTATGACACCACGACAGCTACGACGGCCATGATGCCACTAGGCAACAGTAACTTTTCAGCTCCATTATAATCTCACGGGACCGCTGTCGTCTACGTGGTCCGTCGCTAACTGGAACGTCGTTATGCCATCAAGAAGACATAACAGTTACGAAGACGTACGCACCTACCAACAGAGCCCCAAAACACAGAAGACAGAAGCCACACTGGGTGAACTTGAAGCATTCAAGACGACAGACACAGAAGGACACACGGCGTGTGACCCCACTGACGTGAAAGGTCCAGAACAGGCACATCCACAGACAGAACGTGGGTCAGTGGTTGCCAAGGGCTGGGGGAGGGGGGACAGCTAGTGGACACAGGGTTTCTTTTTGGTGATGAACACATTCTGGAATAAGACAAGGGGGATGGCTGCACAACACTGTGAGTGTGCTGAAAATCAATGAATCATACACGTTAAAATAGTTAGATCAGTCAATTTTATGCTATGTGAACTTCAATTTTTAAAAAAGAGAGATAAGAACGCCAATTAACTAAAAGTTTATCAGTAGAGACGGTGAGAGGACAGAGAAGCACAAGGGTGGGGCCTGACGCTGAGGGGCCACCCCACGACACTGATGGCTCCACTCCAGGCCCCAGAGCCCCGGCCCCGCCCTGCTGTACCCCCTCCCCCCGTCCTCTTCAACATCCAGCTCCTGAGGGCCCGTCTCCAGCCCCCTCGCCCCCGGGGTGGGGGTGTCTGGCTGGGATCGCCCAGAGGGAAGGCGGCCGCGCCAGCACCCACCTGGCCTCTGTGACGCTGGCGGGGCTCCCCCTGCACACCTGCTCCGCCGGCACGTAGACCGAGCAGTTGACGTGGCCCCAGTCCGGGTCACACACGGCCAGGAAGTTGGGGCGCAGACGGCCGACCATGTACTTGGCCAGGTCTGTCAGCGACTGGCTCACCGCGGCCCCGAACAGGAAGGTCCCCAAGACCTTGTAGATGGCGGCCACGTAGTTGTTGAAGTCAGAGCGGGAGTAGAGGCGGTCCGTGTAGACCAGGTAGGCCTCCCCAGCCGAGACCTGCAAGGCAGCAGCAGGGGTTTCACGGCCGGGCTGGAGCCGCGACCGTGGGGTCTCCACCAGGCCGGGCTTGCTGGGCCTGGGGCCTCCCAGTGAAAGGGGTGCGGGACTCCTGGCCTCCCCGAGGCCGACGGGGAGCTGGGGACTCCGAAGGGGGCCCTCTTCCCACAACCACCACCCAGGGCAGAACTGCACCCCGCCCTCAAGCCCCTCCCGCCTTACAAGGATGACAGTGACGGTGATGGTGACCCCTGCCATGAGCCCGTGGGTGATGGTGTCTGGACGGTAGGGGTACCGGATGGAGTCATCTGTGCAGTAGAACCCTCGCTTGTACGGGGCGTTCACGAGCGTCAGGATGGCGAAAGGCAGGGCGGCTGGCGGGGAGAGGAGCCGGTGGCCACATGGTTCTCCCACCAGCAGAGCCCGGGGCCACAGAGACCAGCCTCCACCTGGCACTCGGACCCCTGCCTCGACCGCCCTCCTGGTTTCCTCACCTCCATGCCCACCCAACAGCTAGAAGGAGCTTTTCTCACGGCAAACGGGAGGCCGCAGCCCCCATTACAACCCCCGTGTGGTTCCCCTTCAGCCTCAGAGAAACACCAGAGTCCCCCCCAGGCCCATCGTCCAAACCCCACCCCACATCTCTCACCCTCTCCCCTCACGCACTGCCCTCCAGCCTCCTTTCTGCTCCTCAAACAAACCCAGCAAGCACCCACCCCAGGACCTTGGCACATGTCCTTCTCTCTGTCCAAAACATCTTTGCCTGACTTCCCTCTGCTCTGACCACCCCAGCCCTGGTATCACCCCCTAGAAGGGAATTTCTGTTCTGCAGCCTCCTGTCCCCGTGTGTCATGACGCACCCATCTGTGAGCACCCAAAGGGGTCTGTCTGCTCAGGGCTGAGTCCCCGGAGCGGCCTCGGCAGGGGCTTTACGAGCGTCCATTAAAAGAAGGGAGGCCGCCTCCTCTCAGGGCATCCTTTGTCCCCGCAGAGCAGGTGACAAGGGTAAAATGGAGCGGTTCTTCTGAGACCTGAGTCCCAGAGGAGGAGGAGGGCAGGGCCAACTCCTGCTCCCACCCAGCTGGACCCCAGGGCCCCGGGACCCCCCAGCGACCCTTCACTGCTGAGTCTGAGGGAGGCTCAGTGAAGAAACCAGGGCTGCCCACAGAGCTGAGGGCGCTGGGGACAAAGGAAAACTGAACGACAACTAGATCAGGGAGGGGCTGCAGGCGCCAGTACGGGATGCTGGGCGGCCACACAGACAGCAGTTGAAGGAAGTGAGGAAGAAAATGGGGACATTCAGGGGACATCTGCGGAGGAGCGCTAGGTAGACGGGACAGCCAGTGCAAAGGTCGGGAGGTGGGGCCATGTCTGCAGAGTGGGGGCACTGGGAGAAGGCTGGGTCACGCATGCAGAGTGGGGGCACTGGGAGAAGGCTGGGGTCACGCCTGCAGAGTGGGGGCACT